GGCAGCCTCCGTGCACATCGCTGTTTCCTCTCTTTCGGTAAGACTTTAAACGCCATTCACTTCTTCAGCTGTTATTCCTTTCCTGTCTTCCTTCCTCAGGCGCATTCCCCCGCAGGCGCTTACCTCAACGCCCTGCTACTACGCGAGAGGCGGTAGGGGCCGCGCGGCGCACTCGGCGTGACGACACATTCGAGTCCCCGCCCGGCATACGTCATTTCCGGAACGCTTCCTTCGCGGAGCCTTGTGGGTGACCGGCCGGGGTCTCCTGGCGACGACGATGGCGGGGGATGTGGGCGGTCGCAGTTGCACGGACTCGGAGCTGCTGTTGCACCCGGAGCTGCTGTCCCAGGAGTTCCTTCTTCTCACTCTGGAGCAGGTAGGCCGCTCTGGGGCGGAGGACGAGAGGGTGGGCCTGCCAGGGAGAGGCGCTCGGACCTGAGCTCTCGCAAAGTAACCCTCAGTGGCTGCGGACACTCCCGTTGCTGTCGCTCCTCCCGCCCCTTTTCTGCCATTCATCATCCCACACAGATCTCCTAGGTTTCCGCCATCCCCGTGACTCGCCCACTATCCGGAAAAGAGACGTCCTTAGTATCCGAAGGGACTTTTTTTTTCTGGGTTCTTCAAGGCTCGGAAGGAGGAGTCTCAAGGCGACCCCCGCGGCCTGTTTGTAAGCAAGGGCCCAAGGAAGAGAGGGATTGGGAAGGAAGGATGGAAAAAGAAATTGAGAGTAGAAATGATGAACCGTCAAGGCCAAAGTGCATCTGAGGAATCGTCCATTCCACGCACCCTCACTTTGTTCAAAGATAGGAAACAGGCCCAGAGCGGTGAAGTGACTTATTTAAAGTCATACCATCTGTAAATGGTACAGCCAGGAGAGAAGTCAGAATTCCTGATTCATACTGTAGGGTTTATTTTGTGTTGCCGTTGATAGCAGGAGAAAAATAAGAGTGATGTTTTGTTTAAGTGGTAGAGAATTACTGAGAGTTTCCTTGGGTTTTTATGTAGCATATTTTGCCTTCTCTCTGGTAGTAGGATTCCATGTGGCTTTCCCCTCACTACTCTGTCTTTTTCTAATTTCCTCAAGCCCCCCTACTAAACAGATTATTTTAATGATGGCAGTCATCCTACATCAGAATCACAAAAGGGCCTGTTAAAAACACATTACTGGACTCCATCTCCAAAGTTTCTGATTCTGTAGGTCTGGGGTGTGGCCTGAGAATTTGCATTTTTAACAGTTGTTGGTGCTACCACAGGGGCCACACTTGGAGGACCACTGCAGTAGAGCTGTGGTTCTAAACTAACCTGCTCTCTCGGGATCTTGTCCAAGAGAATTGCCAGGGTTTCCCCATACCTCTGAGTGCAGGGGAGAAAACTGACAGTAAATGATGGTCTGAGATACGAGAGAGAAAAGAAGTAAGGTGTTTTTAAATTTTAAAGAAAAATAGGAATTTTTTCAGAGGATGTAGTTTTGTCAATTGTACTAAACACAAATGTTTTCAGGCCTTCCTGAAATGAAGTTGAAGAGCCTGTGATCTTATTTCCGTTCTCATTTTTCCTTCCCAAGTCCAGATTCCA